AACAGCAAATACCTTCATTACTGTGGCCAAGAAGCACCATAGCTGTCTTGAACTTTCGCAAAACCACATGCAAAGTTGGATATTCGATGACCACCTTTCCTCTCAAATTGTCTAGAAGACCCTTGTTAACATCCAGTTCTTCATACCTTTGAAAAAGTAATTGTAAACATTAAAAAGCTGTCATATATTAGAGAATGCAAGTATATTAAAGAGATTTCTTGATTTTCTTGAATTTTTGCCTCTTTCAAATCCAAAACAACAAAAGGTAATGGATTTTTGCAATCCCAAGTGCTGTCTGAACTATGCTGGCCTCTATTATGAAGTAAAGTTTATGTTTCTAAGTTTGCGTTTTACAATATAAAGATGTCTTATGTCATATTGTGGGCACTGGCAATAATCTTTCCACATATTAGTAACTCAGCTGGTAAATTGTAAACACAGCAGTATATTCTAAGGTGACACTGGAAATTCCCCAAATTCATGCAAAAATTTGAAGCAATAACATAATTTCCACTACTTAATATCTGGTCCGAATGTAGACTTTTATGGAGAGTGGTTGGCTTCTATCATGAGACTACAGTATAAATGGTCTAGTTTCAGGATAATCTATTTACAAATTCCTGTGCTACAGATATCCTATTTGGAAAAGATGTGGAAACAGCACAACTGTATGGAGTATACTATTTGACACCCTTTACAGAGGTATAGTTCTGCCATTTTCCAGTTTTGCTTAATAGTAACATTGTCAGTGGAGCATATCTTTTCTTCCTTCTAGCTCTTGATGGTTTAACTAACAGTTTAATAATTTGACAAGGATATAGAATTGTCTCCCTATTAGATTCTTCTAGCAATTATATCCCTGCTTTTAGTAAATACGTTTTAGGATTATAATTTATATAATTATATGATAATTATTTATAATGAGTTATATTTATATAAACCATATAATTAGAAATTACTGCTTTAATGACATATAAATAATAATATAATAAAATATAAATCCTCATCCCTCATCCCTTGCAGGATTATATTATATACATAATTATATACATAATTGTATAAATAAAAAAACAGAATTGTCATTTAAGTCTGTGTCAAGCTTCAGCTTAGTGATGTGGATGTCTTGTCTCATTCTTGGTATGTCTATGTCCCTGTTTGAGGCAAATAGCTACGTATGTGCCATTTTGAATCTTTTTTCATTTAACTGTTGAGGGAAATCTATGTATCAAATGCTACTCATTTAGCTAGTGTGTAAGCAGCTTGTACACAATGTTCTGTGTTTATATTTTCTGATATTTGGGTATCTTAAGTCTACACATGTGGACTGAAAAGCTGGAATCATTAGAATCTTGAATACCTACAAGGCACTGGAGGCAAGATCTTGCTGAAGTCAGGCAGAGGTGATCTACACATGCAGAAGTAGTAATCCAATTGACTGTAGTATTTCAGATTGAAAGTGAAGATTCAACTATAGACACACGAAAATATGCACATGTGCAACATTGGATAAAATCAACCATGCCTAAAAAGCTTTTGTAAACAGCCATGGTTTTATTTGGCATTGATAGCATGGTATTCCATAACTAGGGTGCCATCATCTCCCCTATCCTTGCGCAGCATATTGCTAATAGGCATGGATACCAGGAGAAAAGATCCTAGTCTAGACATTTGTCTGCTGTGCTGGTTTTCATTTTGCAAGAAGTCCCCCCCCCCTTTGGGGGGTTGCAGACTGCCAGAAATAGTACAAATTGAGTCCACTTCAATAATAATAATAATAATAATAATAATAATAATAATAATAATAATAATAATAATAATAATAATAATAATTTTTATTTATAGCCCACCCCTCTGCACAACAATCGGGGCGGGTTACAACATTAAAAACAGACAAAGTTAAAAACATCCCCTCATGCCCCCAATCCCGCCCTCCCAGCCCCTTAAAACAAGATTAAACTAGAAAAGGATTAAAATGCCATAAGCAATAAAAACCAAACCAAAGAAATCACAGGCAGTGGGGACAAATAATAAACTGAAAAACTCATCTCCCTGGGCAGATATTATTCTGGGAAGGCCTGCCGGAAGAGATCCATCTTCACTGCCTTCTTAAAGGCAGTAAGCATGGTAATGAGACGGATACAGTTCCCATGATTCCCTAACCCTAACCTTTAAGCTTAGGGTTAGGGAATCATGGGAACTGTATTTTATTGTGGCACCAGAGCTCTCTGACAGAGAAGGCTCAATGCCTCAGAAAAAAATCAATTCCCATGATTCCCTAGCACTAACCCTAACCCTTAAAGTGGACTCAATTTGCACTATTTCTGGCAGTCTGCAAGCCCCCTTAGTTGAGCTTTCACAATTAGGACTCTATACCTGTGATCTAAGGAGGTGAATTCCAATATCTTTCTTCATTTTTCTGCTCCTTACTGTGCCTTTTACTCAGTGAATATATTGACTTTTAACATACCATGAGTGAAGTTATTCACCCCATGCTTCTTTTGAACCTGTTATCTAAGGGCCTTTGCAGACTGCCAGAAATAGTGCAAATTGAGTCCACTTTAAGGGTTAATGTTAGTGCTAGGGAATCATGGGAAATGTTTTCTTTTCTGAGACATTGAGCCTTCTCTGTCAGAGAGCTCTGGTGCCACAATAAAATACAGTTCCCATGATTCCCTAACCCTAACCCTAACCCTAACCCTAACCCTTAAAGTGGACTCAATTTGCACTATTTCTAGCAGTCTGCAAAGGCCCTTTGTAAATGTATTATAAAGCAAAACAGGGTACTAAGTGACTTGTTTGTCAGTCACTTCATGTCCTTCTACCTGACAGTAATATATGGATACCCTGAAGCATTTCCTCTCCCTCAAAGTTGTCACTGTACAATTTCTTGACCAATGTCCAGAGTGAATCCTGTGTTTATAACACAAGTACTGAAATGCATTTCAGTCAAGATAGGAGCTTCAATATGAACAACTCTGAACACTGCCTGTTAACAGAAGAAATACATCTGTTTTGAAACCACTAAAATTACACTAATGAAATTTCAATATATATAATCTTTAAACCAGGGATAGGCAAAATGCAGCCTTCTAGATGCTACTGGACTATAGCTCCCATCAGTCCTAGACAGATATTGCAATGGTGAGGAATACCGAAAGGTTACAATCTAACAACATCTGGAGGACTACATTTTTACTACCGAGTCGTCTAGGTGGTGGTCAGCTTCTCCAAGATAAAATAATGCCATCACATACTGTTTCATTTCATCCAGTTTAACTGTTAAGAGCCGTCATCTAACAAGCATATCCAAAATCACATAATCATACTATGGAATGGTGTCAGTCATTACAGTACACTTGTATTGTGTCCCTTCTTTACTCGTAACTGCCCCAAGTGCCAACTCTTGCAGTGACATCTAATAAATCCATTACACAAGTATACCAATATGATCATAACACTAACTTCTACTTGTTGTCAGAGCTGGCTGAGACTCTGCAGGTGCTAGACCAGGGGCCGGCAACCTACGCCCCCCGGGCTGGTTCCGGCCCAAGTCGCCAGACTTACCGGCCCAGGCAGACCCCTGCCGCTGCTGCGCGCTTTGCCGTCCATGCGGCCGCGTGCGCTGCGGCCACCGTTTTGATTTTCAAAATGGCAGCCGCAACGTGTTTGCGCAGGAGTACTGTGCATGCGCATACGTGTCGCGATCGCCATTTTGAAAATCAAAATGCCGGCAGCAAGCGCGCCACCATCCCCCCCCCTCGGCCCAGCGAAGACCTGGACTTCAGGGGACCGGCCCAGGTCTCCAAAAGGTTGCCTACCCCTGTGCTAAACCAATGCCTAGATGCTATAATGGACCGGATGAGGGGCCAGTAAACTGAAAATGAATCTTGATAAAACAGAGGCACCGCAGACTGGTGGTTCTTAGGTCTGGGAATTAAGAAATGCTATCTGCACTGGATGGGGTTGCACTGCCCCTGAAGAAAGTGTGTGCATAGCTTGGGAATACTCCTGCATCCATCTTTTCATTGAAGCCCAAGAGGAATCAGTGGCTTAAAGTATTCAGATCCAGCTTTGACTGGATTCAAGCTGCAGCCTCTCTTGGACAGGGATAATTTAGCCACAATAGCCCATGCACTGGCAATGTTCCAAGTAAATGACTACAATGCATCTACATGGGGTAGCCCTTGAAGATGACACAGAAGCTGCACACTAAACAGAAATCATACAGCACCAATTTTAAAGGAATAGCACTTCCAATACACTTCTTTTCTGAATTCAAAGTGATGGTAACCACATTCAAAGCTCTAAATAGTTTTAGATGTTGATAACTGAAGGGGTGCCTCTCCCTGTAGACTCCTGCCCAAGATTTGAGGTCTGCTGGAGAAGCCTTCCTCGTTTTCCCATCAGTCAGGGCAATATGCTGTGGGTAGACAGGGAAAGGGCCTTCTCTGTTGTGGCACCCCAGGTATGGAATATCTTGCTGTTGTTCCAGAGGCAAGTAAAAACTTGGCAGTTTACTAAAACATTTGGGGCATGATTCATCTCACCCAAAGTTGCACATATGAGTGGTTTTAACTGCTCATAATATGTCCTGCTCATAATATGTCCTTTCTAAGTCTTACATTTTTAATATACTTTTAGTCTTTAAATTATTTAAATTATTCTTATTCTTTTAAAATTACTTTTAAACTGTCCTAAATGACTTTATTGCACACTGCCCTGAGAGCTTCAGGTATAGGGAAATACCTATATAGTTTTAAGAAAATGTCATGTAATTTAATCTAGAGCTCCTCAGCTCAGCAGCTACAAACTGAAGTCCCAAAGAAAACCTTATTTATTTTTGTGTTTTGGCTTAACCATGTGAATTGGATCAACTAGGCAATTCCATACAAGGGAGACCTGCTCCTTGAGAAGATGCATCCAAAGCCAGGAGCAGGCATCAGTGTTGTCATTCTAACCAGCTGCAGTAATCTTAACCATGCCCATTCCTTATAATAGAGGGCCAGTGTGGTGTAATGGTTTGAGCACTGGCTACAACCCTGGAGTCCAGGGTTCGATTCCCCACTTGGCCATGGAAACCTATTGGTTGACCTTGGACTAGTCACACACTCTCAGCCCCAGAAAACCTCATGATCAGTTCACCTTAGGGTTGCCATAAGGCAGAAACAACTTGAAGATACACAACAATAAAATTCCTTGTTATTGTGATGTAAGACTGCTACAGCCCTTTCAGATTCTATGCATTTCAGGAGCAAAAATTTCAGACTCTGAAGCTATTAAAAATCAACACCTTCTCAGTAATAAATACTGATCATACAAATAATATAAATTTAAATGTTTGATTCCCTGGACTTAAGTAACTTGATAGTAATTTCATAGTTACAATTCCTTTTGCTTTTTGGTAATTATTGCTGAGAATGTGTTGATTGTTAATAGCTTTAAAATCTGACATTTCTGCTCCTGAGATGCACATAATCTGAAAGAGTTGTGTCTAAATATCATAAAGGCACCAGATCCTTATGATCTTGGAAACTAAGCAGGGTCAGACCTGGTTTATACTTGGATGGGAGACCATAAAAAAAATAGTAGGTGCTTCAGGCTTTATTTCAGAGAAAGGAGCTGGCAAAACCACCTCTGAGCATTCCTTTCTTAAGAAAACCCTATAAAATCCATGTCACCATAAGTTAACAGGCAACTTGAAGGCACATACACACATACACAATATAGATCCTAGGTAAAAACCTAGTTTTTATTTCACAAACTGCATCTGCTGTAATTTTCTGACCCATAACCACAATGTATATCATAGTAATATTGTCAAACTTCCTTATTGCATAACAGTGTATTAGGATTTAGATTTTTAAAATTCAAGATGTTAAAATATGCAACTTGCTTCTTCTGGCTTTGGAAGAAACCACTTTAAGCAATGGCTACTTCCCTCAATTCCAGCTTCAATCATCATGAAAATATTTGGTTTCAGGTTTCTTTCAACCCAAAGTAATTATGACAATTTCTTACTAAAACTTTTTTAGAGAGGACAACATTATATAACACTTTTACAGTAATTCAAGAGTGCATGCATAATTTAATGCATTAGCATGTGAATATAAACATATTTACTGATTTATTTACAGTACTTTAATGCAAAGTATGGCAATACCTTTCTACTGGCAAGAGTCTTAACACATTCTTTTCTGGTTAAGCAAACATTTACCACCAAAAGGCTAAAGTCATTCACATGCCACAATACATTTTCCATTATCTCATGTTTTAGACAAAACATCTTTAGCGTCCAGCTTGGCAAAACATAAAACATTTGTACTTTAAACTATTTTATGATAGTAAATTATTCAAGTGTTAGATCACCAAGGCACAGCTTTAAGTAAACTTTATTGGTTGACAGACAGTGACAGCTTTTGGCAAATACCCAAGACTTTGGTGCAGTGTGAAGAGCAAAGGAACAGTAAGAGCAGAGAATAATTTTTCTATAGTAATCTGACTAAATATCTGGATCTTGTTACTTTGGTTTGTTTTTAAATCCCTGGTCATCACCCTCCATATAAAAAACACACACACACATTTGAGTCTATTCTGCTCTCTCAAATACAAACTCCTTCCAACGGTTTCTTAAGCTGAAGTGTGTCTTCTATATATTAAATCTATCAGCTCCTCTCCTTCCCTCCAATTCAGGCATGCATACCTTAAGGAAAGCTATTATCAGTGCTTAGTATTTCTAGTAGTTGGAACAGTAGTAGTAGTAGTAATAGTAGCTGCTGCTGCTATTGTTGTTCTTGTTCTTCTTATTTCCCAGATTGGGACTCAAAGTGGAAAACACCTACTGTATTAATAAAAGATTGTTAAAAATCCATAAGATACAAAACAAGATTAAACAATAAAAAGTAAACCACCTACTGTATTAATAAAAGATTGTTAAAAATCCATAAGATACAAAACAAGATTAAACAATAAAAAGTAAACCCAGATCATTAAACACACACACAAACTCACTAGCACAGCAATTATAATATCCAGCACATTGTGTAAGATGAGCCTTATATAGCCACTCATCTAATCAAGTATTGGAACAGAAAAGTTGTTACTTCTGCATCTAAAAGCTGCCACCACCGAAATTGGTGGGAAGTGTGCTGGCCAATTCAGCAGCAGTGCCACCTTTGACAGGATGGATGTGGTGTTTCCAATATAGTTTCCTAACTGAGAACTTCTGCCTACCTTCTGTAAAGTTTGAAAACAGTTTTCTTACTGGATGTGCTGGATGGGATTATACTTCCCCTGAAATCTAAGGTTTGTAGCTTGGCTGTATTCCTGGACTCAGCCTTGAGCCTGGATGCTCAGGATTCAACACTGGCCAGGAATGCATTTGCACAGTTGTAACAAATGTGCCAGCTCTTGGATGGGAAATCGCCTATGAATACCAGGTGCTGTGGGCTATAATTCAGAGGCTGGAACTAGCAAAACCACCTTTGGGTATTTCTTTCTTAAGAAAACCCTAGGAAATCCATGGAGTCACCATATATCAACTGGTAACTTGAAGACACACACACTTGTGTTTGTTCCTGTCGATGTCAGATCTTGCTGCGTTGACACTTGCCTTGATTACAATCTGTTTCGTAATGCACTATTGTAATGCACTAGGTAAGACTGACTTTGCAAACTGTGTATTTCAGCAGATCTAGATTGCTGACCAGTGCTTGTTACAGGGAACTTACAAATCCCTTGTTGAAACAGTTTCACTGGATACCAGTTCATTTCCATGTGCAATTCGTTACCGGTATATCGCCCTGTATGTGCCTTCCTCTGAGTCTTATGATTCAGGGTGGGGTGGGATATTATTTTCAGTCCTATCATTGTTACAAGCCAGGCTAGTGAGAACATATGAGACGGCCTTCTCAATGGCTGCTCCCAGTCTATGGAACTCACTCTCACAAAAAGCTAGGTTTGGTCCCCTCTCTGTGGCCTTTCACCAGGAGGTAAAGAGTTTTTATTTAAACAGGCATTTGATGATTAATTGGTTGCACAGAGGGATTTTTAATGGGGTTTGCATGCTATACTTCTTTCTTTTTTATTATTGTTTTTTTTAATTATTAAATTATTATTGGTGCTTCAATATGATATCTGTTTCAATTGTTTTTAAAAGCAGCTTTATTATCATCATCAAGTTGATCAGGAGCCTTTTTAATTTACCTCTCCCATTGTTGCTGCCGGTCTGGTTTTTTTTTTAATTTTGTTGTTGTATTTATGCTGTTTTAATGGATTTTTGATTTAATACTTTTTAAGGGGCAGGTGGGTTTTGGGATTTTTGCGTGTATTTTGAGATAAGTATGTAATTTTAAATGCTGTAAGCCACCCTGATTGTTCGACAGAGGGGCGGGGTAGAAATAATAATAATAATAATAATAATAATAATAATAATAATAATAATAATTTTCCTTGTTTTCACCTTTTTATAAGCTGCCTTTTCAGCAGAAAGGTGAAACACTAAATAAATAAATAAATAAATAAATAAAATTTAACTGTTGTGACAGGCACTTTTGAAAACACCTTCACCTAACACCTCTAAAATTATATGACAATTATTAGTATTGCAAACAGTTGCATTTAAAACACTCATATACAAACCACTAGGGCAATGCCACAATATTAAAAGTATGTCACAAAAACAAATGAACAAATGTCACCACTGAAACACAACAAGTTGCATTTTTGGTACCCAAAGGGAAAGATGATGTCTAAGAACTGCCTTACTAGCCAGAGCTGCTTGTATTTAATGGTTTAATAATATCCATTATGACTGACCAGAAGTCATGTAAGCTCCAAAGATCTTATTAGTTTCCAAGAAAGCTGAAAAGTCAGTCTACTAATCCTTCTGTAAACTGTACTATATGGATGCCTCTATTATAATGTTCTATCTCTCCAACAGAGCCTCCAGTTATTATCTCAGTAGTGAACTCAGTCATCCCTGCCAGTTCAGACAGCAGGAAATTCCCTGCTAAGATCAGTCCTTCCTGCATGTCATCTGCAGAGCCTTTAGTTTTAATAATGGAATTTTTGTAGTCTGTGATTAAAGATAAAAATGAAAATCCAGTGTGACTACTCTTCTATGATAAAGAACAACCATTTCACTGAAGCTTTTCAGACAAACATTTGTGCTTTGAAAAGAATTTCTTCAATACCGACTTAAAAAAAAAATAGCACATGCTGACATAGACATGTAAGAAGAAATGGAGAAAGCTCTTGAAATAGCTATGGCCGCCATTACATTTTACTGGAGCATTTCTTTAATAGAAAATACTACTGTCAAATAGAAAATACAAATGAAAAACACACACACACACACAAATGAAACCAAAAGAACATGTGAATTTTGGGACTAGCTGAGTAATACTTCATGAAATACAGAGAAGTTAATGAAAGATTTCCTACTATTAATAGCACAGAAGGTTTCATCCTATTTTGGGAAGTAGGAATGGGGTGGAGGATAGAGAAGCAAGGAAGCCCAAAAGAGATGTATATAACACTTAAATTTCCTTTCAAGTATTAGTTTTGAAGAGCTGAAGAGCTGCAGAGATAATAAGTAACAGATGGACAGTCATTCCTAAGTGGTGAATAATCCTTCCTTGTGGTTATGACTTGCGAACAGGAAAATAGTGAGATACACTTCTTAGTTATAAAGCTAGGGGGAAAACTACATTCCAGGATACCAAGTCAGTTTTGCCTAGAAATACAACATACCTTAAAACTTTATACTTGTGCCATTACTAATGCAATCACATCCATTTTGAGAATTAAGGGCGCTGTCAGTTTTCAACAGGATTAAAAAAAATACTAATACCTGAACTATAATTTGATTTGGACTTCCATACAAAGAATTACAACACTACAACAAATGGATGAACTTTATCCATTAGTTACCAACTTTTCACTCAGCTAACATGAAGTGTCTTTATCTATTCTTTTCATACTACCAGCTCTACATTCTGGAAACCAAAATATTCTGTTTCCATTCTGGGTACATTGTTAGGAGTGAAAGACAATAGCTCTAATTAAGACACTA